CTCTCGAGGTGGCCATACGTGTGTACACGTGCTCACTGCCTGGGAGGATGCGTGTTCCTTTCGTAGTCTGGCTTCCAGATCTGTACAGCTAGTGCTTACCGTGTACACTCAGAGCAAACACTGCACTGTGCAGTTGCCACTTTGAAATGTTTTGCACATGCTGGTGGAGGTGTTTTTTTTTGTTGTTGTTATTTTTTTAATTTTATTTTATTTTTTTTTTAGTACTCAAATCAATTATACCACAGTGTGGACTAATTAGTTGCCAAAGATTATTTTGAAATGCATCTTTGACATTGTTGTATGCCACATCTTATAAAAAAAAAAAAAAAAAAAAAGTGTCTTAAATGTATCTTTGAATAGTTTTATGTTCATGGAACAAAACTTTGGACTTCTTCTTTTTTTTTTTTTACTTTAACACTTGCTTCTCTGTTGAGACCGTGCGTTTGCAGAAGGTTTTCATCTCAAAGTAGGGTTATTTTTTTGGCAGCGGGTGGTACAGGATAATTATGAACCTTCAGAAACCAGGGGTCTTTGAATGGAGACATGGAATGAGCTGTAAGCAGCGCGGGGAGGAGAGGATGGAGGAGAGGATGGAGGAAGGTGATGGTGTTCCTTGCCCATTTCAGTCCCTGAGCAGTACGTGCAGCAGCGCTGTCTTAAATGTATCTTTGAATAGTTTTATGTTCATGGAACAAAACTTTGGACTTCTTCTTTTTTTTTTTTTACTTTAACACTTGCTTCTCTGTTGAGACCGTGCGTTTGCAGAAGGTTTTCATCTCAAAGTAGGGTTATTTTTTTGGCAGCGGGTGGTACAGGATAATTATGAACCTTCAGAAACCAGGGGTCTTTGAATGGAGACATGGAATGAGCTGTAAGCAGCGCGGGGAGGAGAGGATGGAGGAAGGTGATGGTGTTCCTTGCCCATTTCAGTCCCTGAGCAGTATGTGCAGCAGAGCTGTGCTAATAACTGGAAGCTGTTGGTTTCTTTGTTTTATTTGTTTGGTTGGGGTTATTTTTTTTACCTTTCTTTATCTTTTTGAACACAGGAAAGCTTTGAGGATGGCCTCTGCATGGTTCCTAGTGTGTGCTGGGGGGGGGGTTACAATACCTGGGTTTGCTTTAGGCTCCTTGAGATGTGTTGTGGTTTGGGGTTTGTTTTGGTTTGGTTTTTTTTTTGGCTAGCATGTCTTAAATCTTCAAGCTTTGAAAACTGCTTTATAGCATTGTGTTGACTTTTTGTTCTGCTGTTGTTCAGTTGCACAGAGTTTTTATATATATGGTGTACTAGTTTTATTGTTAATTCTCTGTGAACAGGGTTGAGATTATTCATTGTAGTTGAAAAAACAAAAAAAAAGTATTCTAAAAACTCCCTTTTAAAAAATCTTGTTTGTATTCTGTTGCAGTGTTACCAGATGGCCTTATGTACGTCACAGTGTTTTGTGATAAGTACAGTAGCACATTTAATGCTTATCCCCCCCCCCTCTGTTTTTATAGCTGAGAAGTATATTCTTAATAATAGAGATGAATAAACAGGAAAATTCTATAACATATACAGTAAGGATAGTGGTTGTCTCCTCTAATGTATATTAGGACAGCTGGAATTAATCTGGGACTGAAAGGACTCTGAATAGGGATTGTTAACCAGCATGAGACTTTGTCTTGGGAATTCTGAGGATCTTTGAGCTGATGGCAGATGTGAATCGGACGCCAGAAGCTCGTAAATCAGAATCGATCTGTTGGCTTCACTGCAACTGCTCGAACTCAACAGCGGCTGAGAACCTGGTCTTCGCAGCTTTTTGTCTATGGCTCAGAGTCAGGGGGGGGAAGCTTAAGTTAAATTTTAGAGAACTTAACTTAAGCAGCCTCATCAGCTGTGGTAAGGTGTGGCAGTTGTTGTTCTGTTTATTTTTAAAGTGCACATCTGTTTTGGAAAGTGACTTTCTGATGCCTTTAGTGTTTACTCCTGAATTGAAGTTGTAGGTGAACCTGGGTTGTTTGCAAATAGACAAGATAATGTCTGTGGTGGGTTTTTTTTTATATTACAGCAGCTCTGACATCTCTGCTTGGGGGCAGAGTGAGCAGAGACATTCATGTCAGTTCACTTATAACTCTTTTTTACTGATTTTACTTTCCTGTAATTACCTGCAGTGGTAAAAATTAAATTGAAAGCAGCAGAGATAATGTTTTCAGTTACTCTTTCCAGAACAGAATTGCATTTAATAAATAGATATAGATATATATATATATAGTACAAAGTCAAGAGACAAAGCAAGTTATGTTGTAGTGAGTGTCTTAACTTCCTACACTGGAGACTTTTTCTAGACATGGTCTTTTAGAGACAACTGTAATCTCACACCGCTTTGGTGCTCTCGTTACAGTTGGGCAAACTTGCCTGGGAGAGAACAGCTTCTCAGTCTAACTTTTTTTGAGAATAATACCTTATAATAAGAGTATCTTAATGCCATTGTGTTTAAAAAAAAAAATAAAAATTGCTGGTATGTAATGCAAGTACATAAATAGCCAAAGTTTTCAGTAATTGTTCAGTGTTATTAAATTTGCTTTTATTTAACCTTCCAAGATAACATATTAGGAAGACCTTCAGCATGTTGATATCATATTGGGGGAAAAAAAAAAAGTCTGATCAACTTGATTATAGCAGATATGCAGTTATTTGAACACATTTCAGGTTTGAATACAATTGGGAGGCAAAGTTCTAAGATGCAAAACTTACTTTGGAGGAAGTGCACTGTAATGACACTTCAAAGTAACAGATGCTGCTTTTAAAGAGTGGCATATTGGCAGTTGTTATTCAAACATCATGAAGGTCTTTCCTGAGAAATCAGGTGACTTTTCTATTGCTTCAATTTTTGTGCAAAAAAAAAAAAAAAAATCAATGTATTGCAATCTTTTTTAAAAATGGGGTGGGAATAGTTAAAGAAAACTATTTTATGTAAGAACTGACAGAGGGATTTGCTTTGTATAATGCAAGCTGGCTTTAAAAAAGCATTGTAGCAAATTATTCAAGTCAATCATATGTTAATAGTTATGTGCAACCAGACATGCAAAACAATTGTATTTTTTTAAATAAATATTTTTAACAAAGTTTCTGATCTTTTGACTGTTTTTTTTTTTCAGTAGAGGAAATGGAAAGTTACAGCTGCAGGGCAGCTCGCTCTGTGATAATGAGGGAGTTCATCAGACCTTGAGCTAACCTGTCCCTTCACTGCAGCCCAGGCTCTCTCCCCTCCTGCTTGAATGGAGACAGAGGTGGAGGTTCTGTCACTGCCTCGGTGCTGCTGCTCAGCCTTTGTGCCAAATCAAGTCCTATTCTTTTCTGGTGTCAATTTCCTTTGGTAAGTAGCTGCATTTTAGATACAGCACTGATAGCAAAGTGGAGATTTGAATTGTCAAGTACACTTCTAACAAAAGAAATGTTATTCTGGCAATAGCATTGAGCTGCATCTTATCAGTCTGCAAGGACATGAGAAGATACTTTAATAGCTGACAGTCCCTGGTGTGATATATATGTAATCTGAGTAGACTTCTTTCAAAATAAACTCCCTCGTTGTATTGTTTCATGCTCATTTCCTCTGTACAGGGATGGAGAGAATGCTGTCATGGTGGGAGGGGCTCTATTAATGACAGATTGGAGTTGGTTTGGTTTTTTTTTTGCTGCAAATGTGTTTTGCAGTACATACTTTTTTTCATTCTGGGTATCTCAAGGAGAGTTAACAGTGTCATCCTGTGGTGCTACAGAAGAATTACAGCACATACTGCACTGGATGTGAGGGAGGAGGGCTGCTGGAGTCCATGGATGAGTTAAACCCAGAATTCAACTGCCTTTACCCTCCTTCCTGCACGGGCCCCATTTGCACTCACCTTTAGGTATTCAAAGTCAATTCAACAAGTCTACTCTCGTGAGACTTTTTCTCCAGAAGCACCTGTGGGAGCTTGTGAAGAGACTTTGTGGAAGGTAAGATCTATTGCTTGGAAAAACAGAAATGCTAAAAACAAGTTTTAAAGTTAAACAGCTGTTAGCTTCAGTCTGACTTTAAAAGCTACAACTGGTGAAGGGAGTAGCTGATAGTCTTGATCAGAAACAGCTGAAGTTACCCAAATCCAGTCATGCTGAGAATCTAGCAATCAATCACCTTTAATTAAACACTGCTTTATATACACACGTACATATGTACATCCACATACAGCAGTTAAAGCAGAAAGTACATGTCCAGTCACTCACTGAAGAAATAGATGTATGGAGCTTTACATTCTTCTAAAGCCAGTCCCTTCTTCATAGCTTGTACTAGGCCATGCGTGGTTATGAGAGTACCTTACAGAAGGCACCTGTTATTATAAGTATTGCACAGATTAAGCAGCTGGAGGCTGGCTCCCAAATACCTGTTTAAGCTTCAAACTGGAAGCTAGAAATAAAACCACCCTAAAAAAAAAGACACTGCAAATGTAGCAGCTAAACTAGTGACTTAAAGCAAAACAAACCATCACAATTCATTCTTGACTATTAAAAAAAAAAAAAATTAAAAAGCTAAGGATTTTAATAATCAAGAGGCCCTAGCATGCTGCATAAGACACTGTCTTAGTGAACATGTCTGGTACTGTGTAATATACAAGAATCAACTGTGCAAATATAGATAGGTCCTGCTACCACTGTGCACTTGGTGGGTTCTACCAATTGTGTGATTTTCCCCCCCCGCCCCCTCCTTTGGAAGTATACATGGAGGTGACATATACCCTCCAGTTAGTGTTGCACAAATATGAATTCAAATCCAGTATTGTGCTGTCAATTGTGGGGGCTTCTCTGGGTTACAAGCCAAAAGAAATAAAAATAATAAAAAATAATCTGTTAAGTTCAGTGACTAAGCCAGGATATACTCAGTCTTACCTATGGACCAGAGAGCACTTCTTCCTTCCCACCCTCCATCCAGAAGTGGTAAGAAAGTTCATTTGCAGGAGTAACTTCTCCCCTCACCCTGCCACACACCGGGTCAGTCTGACGCTCACAGTCGTCTTTTTGGTACAAGTGACACGGGCAACTTGTGCTCAGCTCGCCGCAGCGTTTCCTTGATTCCCACTTACCCCATCTAATGTGCTTTTGATTGCAGAAAACTTGCATGATTCAGTCATTAAATGTGAAATCATCCTTAATAGTAATGCTTAATTGTGTGTTGTTTTATTGCTTGTCTAGAGCTTGGCCACTTCTTTAGTGCTGGTACTGTCCAGTGTCATCCGTTACTGCTGGTTTGTCAGGTGAGGAGTCATCCATATCTGCAACATCAACAGCAGCTAATTAATCTCAGGGTACTGATTCTATTGAGCTTGAAGGGAATGTGGATGAGCTCTCCCAAACACACATGTTGCTGTTCTATCACCCACCAACACCAGCTCGTTTACTTTGCTGCTCATGGAAGAAATGAGCATTTCCTCCATTTCCAGTAACAGGGACAAGTTTTTTTGCCTGTCACCCAGTGCTCCTTTTACAGAAGATGTTTATAAAAGCAAGTAGTGTGTGCAATACCCAAGAGAAATCCTTTATCAATGAGGCTTTTCTAAAGAGCCTGACACTTGTTCCATGGATTTTAGCCAGGGAACAGTGCAGGGAAGCTTGTGCAGTCTGTACTAGGAGGACTTACTCCTACTAGCTCTGCAGTAGGAGTCGTGCTTTCACAGCTGGCATCCTATGTGCTTTATAGTTCCTCTGTGATCCACAGACCATTCCTACCTACTTTTTTCCCTCGCTTCTCTGACAGAAAAGAAAGCAAACCCTGAGCTGTGGCTGCCAAGGCTTTGTGGGCAAGTCAAAGCAGGAAGAGGGGACAGGAAGCAGCAGTAAAATAACCATTTCCTTGCATTTTGCTGAAGTGCTGCACCCTGGTTATGAATTGATGCATATGCCACTCTTCCTCTCATTATAAAGCAGGGCTGAGTGCTGGTGCTTTCTTACCTGATGGGGGCTTGGGGTACATCCTGTGGAAAAACAAGAGGAAAGTGTAGAAGGTAAAGGCCAAGCCTCCAAAGATCATCCCACAGACCAGGAAACTATAGCTGCCCTGATCATGGATAATCTGCAATTGGAGGGAAAAAAAAAATACATGTCATCATAGCACTCAAATACCTAATTAGCTTTCAGTAAGAGCTTTACTACGATAGCTCAAGGGTAATGCAGTGCTTTTTCCTAGCAGCTCTCTCTAAAACCACCACCAAGGTTTCTACTTAAAAGTTCCAGTCAGTTTTTGACGTGCCTTGTCTTTCCTTTGCACTTACCGATCCCACCAGTAACTGCAGTACCATCTCTCCAATTCCAGCTCCAGTCACTAACACGGTTGTGGCACAGCCTGCAAAGAAATAGCACAAGTGATGTTGGCAGGGAAGAGGTGAAAGAGCCAACAGGATCAGCCTGTAGCTTCTTCAACTGCTCTTTCATGGATCTCTCCATACAAGAGTTACAAATACTCCATGTACATTCCCATCTAGGGTTAAGAAAGCCTCTTTAACCACTGGTAGTGCAGAAAGGTAAAAGCTTAACCCCCCAACCATCTCCTGTTCTGTCACTTCTCTGACATAGAAGTGATGTTACCTCTTGATGGAATGATTCTCATTCTTCTGTATCGCTGCCCCAGAGACAGAGTTTGGCAGAGAGCTCCTGTAAGAGCTGGCCAAACTCTAGCATTTCAGTTTGCTGATAATCTGGATGATGTTTTCAAAACGAGCTCCCTGTAAGCCTCTAAAGCGGGCGCTCCCGTCAGTGCCTGAGAGCTCTAAAGCTGCAGGGAACCTAGAACCAGGCTGGATCCCTGCCTGGAGAAGTCATTAGTCCAACCAAGCTGGGATTTGTGCAGTCTGGTTTGCTGAATAGAAGCTTGAATAAACATTGTATTCAAAAGCCAACCTTCCAGGCTTCCTAAGCATCCCTGAAGAGGGATGGAGTTGCCAGGTGTGATGGTACCTGAGCTTAGTCTTGAACACCCACCTGCTTTCCAAGTCTGCCCGGCGTGCCCAAAGCCCTGCTCACCTTTGTACTGCAGGATGTCCTCAGTGTAGGCGAGCATGCTGGGGAACGTGCTGCTGAGAAACAGCCCCAGAGATGCTGTCCCCACAAACAAGAAGACAACGCTGTAGGAGAAAATCAGGAGCAGGAGGAAGGTTATCAGGACTCCAACCTGCAAACAAGACACCCAGAGTCAGTAGGAAGGTAAATGCTGAGTTGCGATAGGCTCTAGATCTTTTTGTGTGTGTGAGGAAAATAGTCTGGAAAATAAAATAAACTGTACTGAGAAACAATCACAATCTCTGAAAAATTGCAGTAAATAGCCAAATAAAATCCATCTACCTCTACACTGAAGAATTCGCTACTTTTTACAACAGGACTTTATAACATAACTTGGTCCTTGAGTCTCAACTTTGTTAGGTAGCTACTTAAGGTTGAATCTGAAAAAATACCTTTTTCTCTGCAGCTTTAAATACAACAGTACTGCTACTTCTGTAATATTTACATGTTTTAATCACTAATAAGTCTTATTCAGCAGGTTAAAGAATTAACTCGCTCTCAATAACTGCTCAGAAACCCCTCACGGGAGAAAAGCCAAAGAGCCAACTAAAATGAAACGAGCTGGCCCTCACCTCCTGCTGCTGCAGTGCACAAGTGACAGCAGAACCATCCCCGATGCACAGAGTCAGCAGAGGGAGCTCTGCAATCCCAACAATTAGTTCTTAATTGCTTAAACCCTGATGATGGCTGTGTGCATGCACACAAGAGCAGTTTGGAGTCTGAAGAAATTGAATTCAAGCTGCAGTTCTCTCTAATGCTGAAGTGACTCCAGGAGCTGGTGTATCTCACTGTAGGCAGCAGAACCAACTGCAAATCTTAGCAGATTTGCAAATCTTAGCAGCAGCTAAAGCAGAAATCCTGTCCTCAGGTTTAACAGAGCCATCGTGCAGTTCACACAAGTGATTAAGGGGGTGGTGGGCACTGAGGAGATGCATGGACTGTCCATATCAGATAGATAACTGCAACACAGCTGCTGCTGCTGAGCTTTCCCTGCTCCCTCACTACTTACTAGTGTAGATAGTACACTTACTAGTGTAAGTAGTGCCTATGTGCTGAAGTAGGAGATTACACTCATTTTTAAAACAATTACAATTGTTAAAACAATTACACAATTTTTAAAACAATTGCATATCATTTGGCTGTATCTGCTGCTATCTAAGCCCAGTTTTTAAAGTGACCAGCAGCAAGGTGCTGAGCCAGCTGCCTCACCTGCCTCCTGCCTGCGAAACACATCGACTTACAGCTTCAAAACATCCCCATGTGAACTGTCACTCTTGTTCCCTCACCACCCTGTTATATATTCTTGGCCTCACACTATTAACTGTGAAGCTTGCTACCAAAATAACTTCTGGTTTAAATAAATCGTACATTAACTGCCTTCTCACTTGTTTGTGTTTTGTTTTTTCCCCTCCCCATAAGAAGCGTGAACAGGAATAACTCCCTCCCTGTTGTCTGCCACATCCTTACATGCATCTTTCTTACATATACTTAGATTCCTTCCCCTCTCTTCAAATGAATGTTTCAGTAATTTAATCAGCCTCACATCACTTTGGTTTCTTTGACAGCTGCTACAGTCTGAGAGTTTACTGAACTATCTCCCTTCCCTTTCCCATGGCTGACATGGACATTGACTTCCATGTAGATGCCAGAGAAGAAGACGGTGTGCAAAGCAAATAAAGTTGGCAGACACTTTATGAGGTGATTTCACAAATCTAACCTTAGATTAACCGAGGAGCAAGCTCAGAAAACAGTGCAATCAAGTTGTAAGTCTTGGCTACCTCAGCTGCAAGCAGAAGAAAAACACAGTAAAACCAGCCTTACCACATTGATGAAGACCATCGTTGCTGGCTTCATCCGGTAGGACACAGGGATGGAGATGAGCCTGCCCAGTGTGATGAATCCCCAGAAGAGGCTGGGCAGGGAACCAGCCACTTTATGTACTACAGAGAGAGGCTCTTCCACTGCGTAGCTGTAAACGAAGCCCGAGTACTCTCCCTGCAGGGAAAACAAACCAGCGTGTTCACATCGACGTGATGACTTACAGGCTTTGCAATTTTAACTTCAACCTGTCCCTCAAATATCCACAGCACTGTGACAGAGCTGGAGAGCCCACCTATGGATTTGCTACCAAATCTCAATGAACCTTGTTCCCAAGGGTTTGCAGCTGGAGACAGGCTGCCACCAGAAGCAGAACACAGGACTTAAGCTCTCCTAAAAGGGCAAGACTTAACAGCATGACTGGGTAAAACGCACACTAAGCTTCTATCTGTAGAGATGGTCTCTTCCCTAGGGACTGTCTTGTCCTTTTGGAACTGTGTACTCTCAAAACATCTCACATTAAGAACCCAGAGTTGATCATCCATAAAGATGGAGGCCCTGGCAAGTATCTGACAGCTGCTTTGTGTAACCCCAACTCATCTTTCAGGACCCTTTTTAACGCCCTAGTAAGACCCAGCGGTATTTTACCATGAGGGGATTAAGACAAAACTGTTGAAAGGAAAAGAACAGCAACTTGCCAGCCAAGAGTGAGCCTTCCTCAAACCCCGTGTGACTGCGCCGGGCAGGGACATGCTGTCGGGCCACTACACAGAGACTGCACCATCCCCACGTGCTCTCATCTTGGATTTTGTGGGCTCTGGAGACCCATCAAACAAAGAGCCACCATTTCTTATGAAATAAAATGAAGTTGTTTGTGCCTCTTGGCTGAAGTGAGAAGAGACCTCCGCTGTGTACAAGCAGACAACATCACAACTCCAGCTCTAAACTGACTGGGTTAGTAGCGATCTAGCTGCAACAACACAGAGCCGAGGAGAAGCCACAAAACCCTCCCAAGAAGTGGGGCACGTACCAGCCTGACTCTGATTAGCTTTGAATGAGCTACCTTGGGAACCAGACTGCTGCACTGGCAGACCCTCAGGTCCAGCCTACTGCACGCAGAGGACGTGTGCTTTTTTGGGCTGTTACAAGGGATTTGGAAGGCAGAAAGCCATATAGCTTTGCTCAGATAAGATCCCTCTATCAGCTGAACTCACCACAATCCCATCAGTCATGAAGAGAACAAGAGCCCCAGTGATGTGGACTGCGAAGTAGGTGTAAGAAGCCCCTCTGAAGTTTTTGCTTTGGCAGCAGCTAAATAAGTCATCATGACCTGGTGAGAAACAATGCAAAGCAAACTTAGCTGGAACGTCCCCCTGGGGCTGGGTGGTTGCCAGCCCACAATAGGGATTTGTTTTGCACTCAGCTGCAAGACAGAGATTCATCGAGGATGGTGAACAACGGGGAGCACTGCTAACCTCTGCTGGCACCACCTCTGTCCTTACCTACCTATAAACTTTCAGAAGGAAGATAGATACGCTTACAGGCTGCTGGCCACAGACTGGGACCCCAGCTCTCCAGGATACTTCCTACTTATCTTACAGTAGCTGCTTGTGCTCCTCTTCCCATTTAGGAACAACACATTGCTGGCCCCACTCTTACAGTCAATAGAAACAAGCCCAAAACTCAAAGTCCCACGTCCTTGGTACCACCACAGAGGAGAGTCCTGCCCAGGACAGCTCACATTCCTTGGATAAATGATATTTAACCAAACAAGACAACTTTGGGAAAGAGGGTGATAAACACACAGCCTCCTCCAAATAGACCACTGGGAGCCACAGCCTGCCAAAGCTGGGGGTCAGGACCCCAGGAATTCCCGACTGTCCTGTCCTTATGCTTATATCACACCACTATGGGACGTGCAAAGGGCTGGTGTGAAGGTCCTGACCTGGAGTCCTGTGCAGGTGAGACAGTTGCTTCTGCACAGCAAAGATGAAATTCTCACCACTTCTATGGGGAAGGAGGGATTTTTGCCAGCACAGCTGTGGCTGTCAGAGATGGCAGCAGTCAGCACACTGTCCTCCTGCTTCTCTAAGGATTATTCTCAACTGTGTTTAAGAGGAAGATGAAGATCTGAAGAACATGAAGCCCCAATGAGTTGTATGAAAATGGGCAGCTGGGTTAAGGAAAGAAACCATCAGTGTCTCAGCTAAGGGAAATGCTATCGGATGAGCACAACCTTATCAGACACTAGAGAACCCGCTCTGTTAGGGACACCTGTGATCCTTCCCTGCAGCATCTCACCACATCTCTAACTGCCTCTGCCTTCAACTATTCCCTAAAATTTCCTTTTATTGCTCAGGTAAAGTCACCTCTAATAACACTAAACGCTCCTCTGATAACCCTAAAATATGATTACTTCCAAGATTCATTATTTAGCTGAAGAATTTACATTTGCTCTTGGGTAGCAAAGAACAATGTGACTATTGTCCCCAAAACAGGGTGTAGTCACAAGTTCAAGAGCAAACTACTGCTGGAATTTAACTTTTTCGCCTCAAACAAGGGCGCTGTCCTTATTCCTTTCAGATGTATAAAAAATCAGTGTTCTGCAGCACCATGACTGCTCTTAAACTTTGGACTAGATGATCTTTCGAGGTCCCTTCCAATCCCCAACATTCTGTAAACCAAACAGCCAGCAGAGCTGGCTCAAAACCTGACTGAAAACCAGAAGGAAACAAAAGGGCACAACTCTCACGTGTGCTTAAATGACTTGGGAGCCCAGGTTTAGATTTAGGGCAGCTTGGAGAAAAGCAGCCTGGAGTCCCAATGGCAGGGTACTAATCTCTGTACAGGTCCCATCTAATTTGAGGGCAATTGGGCACCAAATTGTCCGTTTGGATTGTTTGGGTACTTCTGGATTACACTCACGTGTATGCTTTGGCAAGTTTCCTCTTTAGACAATAGCGATGGATCTCACTTGTTAAACTCAACGGAGACACTCAGAAATACAGCTTCTTCTCCCCCCTGCTCACTCCCCATTCCTCCAAACCCACCAGAGGTGCCTCCAGCTCACCTTCTGCTGCGTGGGGTCTCTGCACAGCGGTGGAGAGATCGTCCTTCTCCACTGGCCGCGTTTCCATCGCCAGCTCGTCGGCTGACAGCAGCGGGTGGCTGCTGCTGCTGAAGCACGGCACCATCCGCTCCTTGTAGAGCAAGAAAAACACGGCGATGGGGACAGGCAGCTGGGGAGGGACAGAGAGGGGCAGGTGAGCATGACAAGCCTCACACAAAATACACTCCAGTTCCCCAGTCGTGAGGGCCTTTCAAGAAGCCACACTCGGCATCTGCGGCAGATGTTCCTGAATTAACCTCCAAGAGCAAGGACAGGGGCTGGCAATGGGGTAAGGAGCCACTGCAGGAGAGACAGAGGCTTGTTAGGAGAGTTAGCAGGGGAAAGAGAAACCAAAAAAAGCCTCCAGATCCAGAGTGCACTGAGGCATCTCCTGCCAGTCCCTGTGGGATGTCAGGTAGGCTGGGGACTGTTCACCTGGGATGGGGGGACAGGGACACTTGGAGAGAAGGCACCTAAATACAAACCTCATCAAGCACCATACCTGCCCTTCAAAACTGAAATGTTCTGGTTTCCAAGCATTCAGCCACTTCTGCCCAAAAAAATAGTAATAAAAATAAGTAGCTTTTGCCTATGGAGAGCAGAACAGTTTTAGTGGGAGACCTTCTGTGGCTGAAATACTCGAGCAAGTTCCTCCAAGACCTGTTGTGCCCATCTCCAGCCATTAGCAGAGGTTGCTTAGCATCTCGTAAGAGATGAGCTCGTGGTTCCCAGGCCAACAACCACAGCACTGAGCACCTTCAAACAGCCCCTCGTTGCAGCAGCTGCTGAGGAACCCAGGACTGAAGAGCCAGGAGCCTCCAGCCACCGCCCTCAACTGTCACTGCCTTGGAGACCCCGGCACATCCAGGGATGCTGCTGCACTGGCTGCTCTCCCAGCACAGAATGGTCCCACCAGCACCATTCCCTGCAGTCAGGGCTTTCCTCCTGGTGCTAACACACATGGGGACCGTGGGCTTGTACCAGCCCATGGGATCCATCACATGGCAGCTGCAGCATCAAGACCCCCAGCACCATGTGCCTGGGGATGAGCTGCTCCCTGCGCACACCCACGACTCGGTGGTGCCTCCAAACCCAGAGGGATTTGCCTTTTTTTTTTTGAGAGAGAGAGAGAGAAAACATGGAAACAAATGAAGCTGGGTCTGCCCCTTGCCAGCCCTCCCTCCCTCCTCCCGCCACAACCAAGTGGTGTTTATTCTGCAACAAACTGGGGGAGAAAGCCAGGAAATCCTAAGTGACAGCTCACTCTCCAGCCGCCGAGCGCTTGTTTTTTACATGTCTGTGAGCAAGTGTGAGCTCTAGCTCCAAATTTCCTGCCTTTTGTTGGCTCGTGGCACAATTTAAATGTATGGAGAATTCCCCCCCCCCTCCAGCCCCCGCCTCTCTTGCCTGAATTCATTTAGGAGGACTTCATTGTTCTGGGAACAATGGGAATAGGAACAGTTAGTTCGGTCCCATGGAAGAAAAATGCATTTGCTTGATAGTTCTAATCCTTCCGGAGGTCAGGACCAGATTTTATTCTTCTAAATTGCAGATTTTGCAAAAAAAAAAAAATTACCCACACAGAGGGACTGGCCGTACAGATAAACTCCCTGGACACTCCCAGCCTTAAGGAGCACTCAGTGTCTCTGCAGAAAAGACTCAGCTCCAGACTCCCCCAATCCCCAGTCCAACTGTAGGCACATCCCTGCTCCCCAGATCCTCATCTCCAAAGCAAACAGGTCCTTGTTGCTTTATACAGACTAGTGCTCTGACACCACCAGCCATGAGCTGCTCACCAGCACTGGCTGTTTCTGGTAAGAAATGCCCAAAAACTGGAGACTCACCCACAGTCAAGCACATCCCTTGCCCAAGTGCTGCCACCACGCCAAGGCAAGCTCAGGAAAGGGGGGAAAAGCAAAGGATCAAGCTCAAGAGAAAGCAGGTTCCCAGGACTCCATCTGAGCCAGCCCTGTGTCCTGTTCACCAGCTGGCAAATCACCTGGGGACAGTCACCCGCGGCCACCTGGCCCACAGGAGGGGACAGTCATAAATCCAGGGTACAGGGGATGGAGCATCCATGAAAACGGTTCAGTTATTACACGGACAGAGGGAGAGGAGCAAACAGCTGAACACCAGAGCCCTGCCAGGACAAGTTTCACCAAGTAAAGGGACAAATCCATCCCATAGGAGCAGCCTATCCCAACCACAGAACAAGGACAGCTCGAGGACTGTCCCTTCCACTGCCCACATGAGCATGGCCACTGCCACGAGCTGTGGGGCAGGCGCTGAGCCCCTCTCCCCATCCACAGCTCCCACATGCCCCAGCTAGAGAGGTCGGGTGGTGATGATGAGCCTCGCTGGCCCCTGGAGCCAGGACACGTGCTGAGACACACGAGGGGCAGGGCCACCATGACAGGATCTCGCTACTCAGCTCCTAAAGCAGCTTTGGTTTTCCTGGGGCCAACACCTCGGCTGCCCAAGCTGCTTGGCAGGAGCCTTCCCACCCTGCAGGGAGCCCAAACAGCGAGGACCAGAGATGAGCTGGAGCCACAGCCCCTAAAATAAGGACACTGGTCCTCAAAGCACCTCCCTGCCCCATAGAGTTGACAGTGCTCCGCACTGTCCCCAACCACACCGGTCCCCATCTCTGACCATCTCGATCAGGCAGAGATTTTGGTGTGCTAACCATTTGCTTTGGGGTTTTCTTCCCAGGAAAACTCTGCTTCACCTTTTTCAGCAGAAGGCTTTTCTTTTTTTCTAACAAGGAGAGGGGGATCTGAGCATCCCACTGGGAGCCTGCACAGGATGAAGCATCCCACTGCCTGGACCCAGCGCTCCAGCTCCACTCACCAAATCACCAGGGATGTTTCCCTCCCCCTTGGCAGTGTTTAACCATTATTATAAACTCAACAAGTCACTGCATGGGTATAATCATGGGTATAATCCAGGCTCCTTCCCTCCAGTTCCTATTTCGGTCTCTCCCCGTAGGAACACGGGGCTGTTCCCTGCAATTGCATCCAGGCTACTTTTAAGCAACCTAAGCACAATGGAGTGTCCCACACTTCCCCTGGGAAACCACCTTCCGGACAAACACATCTCTCTCAGAGGAACATTTTCCTGATTTCCATCCCCTTGGAAAGGGCTGGATGATGAAATTTCCGTTCTGTGGGAAACCAAATTTTAAAATATGTTTTTTTTTGTTCCAAATCTGGATGAAAAGCCAAAATTTTCTCTTAGAATGAAAAATTTTGTCCGGGAGTCATCCGAGCACTTCATTTTGATAATGTTGAACCACTTAATTTTACTAAAACAAAACCATTTTGCTTCAATAACATCAAAACAACTATTCTGTCAGCTTTACACATTGCATTTATGCCCAAGTCCAATTGAGACATTTCCACTTTAAACAAAGCAAGAAATGGAAATGAATCACTTCAGTTTGTGTCTGGTCAGAATACACAGAGCCCTGCGAAAACTGGGATGGAAATGTGTTTTTCACCGTTTTATAACAAAGTTGCTGGTCCTGGTTTCCATTTCTAGAGCTCGCTCATTTCATTCACTTCCCTGGGGTTTTAAATACCAATTATCATCATCTTTCTCTGACGTTTACACCTTACAGAAGGGTCAGCAGTTTTGGAGCTGAGCTGCTTTCAGTATCTCCAGCCAGTGGGTTGGGTTATTTAGTTTAAACAAGGAATCAAGTCAGTTCCCTTAACGAGGCTTTGGGAAAGACAATAACAGCTCAGCTCTGGCAAGGGGACGCGCTCAAGAGCTGCGTGTGCAGAGTATGTCCTACTCCCTGCTCCTCTTATGTTTGTTACCTGACCCTCAGCCCAAAACCCATCAGCCTCCCAGCTCCCCGTCGTGCTCCTGGTGATCCCACTTGGTGTGCACACACACGTGCAAACCACCCACCCACGCAATCAGCACTGGAACACGCAGGGATGCACAAGCTCAGCTTGTGACCTGGGGTCCCATCCTGCTCCCAAAATGTCCATGGGACACTGGTAGGAACAGAGAGGGGTCTGGTAACCACCCTCCCATCAGTGCTCCAGATATCAGACACATCATTGTATTCAAAGCGATTATTAAACGCTGCCTTCAAAACTCAATTAGTTTGCTCAGGATTGACTGGCAAAACAGATAACACTCCAGTGTAATTAAAAGCACTTTTCCCATGGCATCTGCAGTCAGAGGTAATTAAAGCTGGCTGCTCCTCCTAGGCAGAGACTGTTCTTTTTGGTATTTCTACAAAGAAACTCACGACAGCACCTGCCCAGTCATCTCGGTTGCCTGTTCTCCTCACTGTGTGTGCCTCAGCCTAACAAAAGCCCCTGGATTAGGTGCACTGAGGTAGGTTTTAGTGCTCTAGCTGCAGCACTTACATTGATGAGGGCCATGATCCAGAAGGCGTAGGAGACGCGTGTGACCACCATGCCCTTCATTGGCAGGTCGTAATGAGACAGGTTGCCCGGATGGTGTGGGACCAGGGACTTGCGGATGTGAGGGAGGTTGCTGGAGGCGTTGGCCGTGGAGTTTGAGAGGATGCAGTTGGTGTCTGAGAGGAAGGGGTCAGCAATCAGTGGGCTTAGCAAGGCTCCAAACCCCACGAAGAAGTGAAGAGCCTGCAGGAGATAAGATGCACAAGTAAAGCATGAGAGTTTGCTGCTCTTTTCTGCACAGAGGCTGGCTGAGCCCCTCACTCATCTTCCTCAGAGGAGGAAGCACAGCCAGAGGGAGGACGTGGACTCCATGTTCACCTGCAGGAAGATGGCAGAGTCCTTCTGGTAGATCTTCACCAGCTGCATGTTGGAGATGGTGTCAATGCAACCCATGGCCAGTCCTGCCACAGCCATGACCACAGCCAGGACCACCACATTGTGGCACAGAGGGATGATGGCAAAGACCAAGGAGATTGCCAGTGACGAGGCAAAGAGTGCAAACAAGGACTGAGCCAACCTGAGTTGAGCCACCCTGAGACGGGGAAAGAGGAAAGTCAGGACAGAATTACTACTGTGAGAGCAGCATCCACACCACAGCCCTGCCTCCCGTTTTCAGCCCCAGGTCAGTCGGTGGTGTAGGCATTAGCAGGAGATGTACCCACAGGCTGTAGCTCCAGCACATGCTCTTCTGACAAGACAAGGGAGATCCTACACACCCCGCACCCCCAT